AGTGCAGGTTACTCAGGTTCGTAGGTGCACTTATCGATTATTCGGCTATATGATACCATGATAAGAGCTACAACTATCAGTAAGAACGTCATAAGTTCAAATCCTGGTTGTGGGCCGCTTGGGCCTATCATATTTATGGGGGTCGTTAAATGAGCAACACTTTATGGTAATTCCTACGTGTTAAATTTACTTTATGGTAAGTCACACCTCCGATTAACACGGTCGGCCACGTACTTGTCGAAAAAAGTTCAATATACATTTGTTGAAACGTTCCCTCATTATTGTTAGTGCCATGAGGCCAAGCAACAGATGATCAGTGCATTCAAAAACAGTCAGACACACACACATTGGCTAAGCTGTCCGATGAGATCCTAACTCCAGGTATATTTGTTTTAGAGAAAACCCTTTTGATACCGTCATTGTGGCTTTGGCATCAGGACCAGAGGTCATTTATTGGCGACGATCTCTGTAATAAATTAGCGTACAAATGTATGTTCTACACAGACTTGCAGTATAGTTATTAAAGCGGCTATTTGATGCATATTACGCACGCATTAAACTATGCACTTTACAGCCAATGTTGTGTACAGAACTGGATTAAAAAGCCTCCCCACACTTTTCGGTGATATTCGTGTTTGTCTATTCTTCACCAGGCTGGTGTGGGTTGCATACCTGTCAGCCCCTTATCAGTGCCCCTACCTTATTACAGACCAATTCAGACTTTATTGGTCACCCCGTGTCCCTTATACATCTCAACGTTCATCCTACAAAATCCCATCACAAGGGAGAAACACAATGTTTTTTTTTAATGCCCGTATTGAAACGTCTGCACGCCGTATGGACCTGAAAACTCATTTTCCCTGCAAAACAATACGGGCTCAACCGTATGGGTTGACAGGTATGGATATTCGTGTGTCTGACCATACTTCACCAGGCTGGTCAGTGTGGGTTGGTGAAGGGGGTGCATCAGGACCAGTTCAGGTATCAACTTCATCACTGGCGCGAGCCGTGGCCAGGAATGCAATTCAGCTTTCATTTCATTCATTTGGTAAAGCCCTGTGAGCCATTCGGCTCTTGAAAGCTTGATAGGTTCGTTCAAAGCGCAATGCCACGGCTTCACCCCATACATCACTACAGCGTACATGATGTGCGTTTGTAGGCAATAGACGCACGTGCACTAATGTGATAATAATAAATGTCAACGTTTCATTATTTTAATGCGTATGTACTAGATAACATGCAGTATTGTCATGCTATCATGGTGTGAGTTTGTTGCTGTTTTTTGAGCGCATAATATTTCTAAAACGTTACTATTCAATTAAACATCGATTTTACGTATTTAAAAATGTCAATAAAAATGTATTGAAAATTTGGGAAACATTACATCCGTTTTACGACATCCCGATTTGCGACATTTACGACGTGTATCAGAGGCAACCATGGTACGATTTACGACGCACAACTTCACTTACGACAAGACTCAGTCTTGGTTTCGGGTGGGGGGGGACGGCGCGGAATCGATTCGCGCCAATACGGTGCGTAGTCGATTTACCCCCGTCGATTCCTTCATTGGTTTAGGAGCCGTGTGGCTCCATTGTCGATTCACGTGTCGATTCCTTTGTCCGTTTGGGGTGCGGCGTGTTTTGGAACGGAATCGATGAGCGGAGAATGGTGCGCTGACGACTCCTCCCCCTTATCGATTCCATTGTTCGTTCGGGCGGAAAAACTGGAGGCGTGGTCAAGCTGGGAGTGAGGGTGGGCCTTAATGGGGGCGGGGCTTAATGGGGGCGGGGCTTAACGGGGGGGGGGGCGGGGCTTCGTGGAGCGGGGCTTCTTGGGGGCGGGGTTTTGTGGGGGCGGGGCTTAACGGGGGGCGGGGCTTAATGGGGACGTGCCTTTGTGGGGGCGGGGCTTCGTGGGGCCGGGGCTTAACGGGGGGCGGGGCTTAACGGGGGGCGGGCTTTGTGGGGGCGGGGCTTCGTGGGGGCGGGGCTTAACGGGGGCGGCACTGCCAGAGCTGAGGACAAACCGCTGGCAGAATTTCGATTTAAAGCTTTCGTCAGTTTAACACGGAGTAGGATTTCGCGACCAATATTATTCCTAATATAGGTTTTTGGGTCAGATCGCGTTATTTATAAATGTGTCGTAAACCTCCACCACCCGACACGGCCAAACAGTAACATTTAAAAACGCTGTTGATTCTCTCTTCAACACACCGAGGTGCTTATCCGTTAACTTTGATCTGTGACCGGCTTTGTTGGCGTTCATGACGCTGAATGTCTGCTCACACACATAAGTCGAGCCAAACAAAGTCAGTATCTTCTGTGCAGTCTTCCGGAGGTTTGGAAACGTGGCTCTGTTAAGTGAAGCATAAAAGTCATTCAGTTTAACAGAGTTGAACGTCTCCTTTAGGACGAAGTCAGACTGAAGATCTATCAGTTCCAACTGCAGCTCCTGTGGTGCTGTTTCAGGGTCTTGTGACAGGGGACAGGACACCAGCTGAAGTGACTGTTCAATGTTTTCGAAATCAGAGAACCTACGGCAGAATTCTCCGTGCAGGTCCTCAAGTGATTTGCTGTATTTTTTTGCGTTTCGCGGTGCCTCTTCCTGCATGGCAAGTGTGGGGAAATGAGCAAAAGGTTTGTTCGCAATTTGTCCGGAGAACAAAGTGAGCTTGGATTTGAAGGCTTCCACATGTTTGCACATGTCGTGAACAAACTGATCTTTCCCCTGCAGTTTCACATTCAGCTCATTCATGTGTGAAAATATGTTCACAGGAAACGCAAATCCACTAAGCCAGTTCTTGTCGCTTAGCTCAGGGAATTCGTCAGATTTCCCCATCAACTCCAAAAATGCAAAGATGTTCTCTTTCAGCTCCCACACTCGTTGTAACACTTTCCCCAAACTTAACCAGCAGACACGAGAGTGGTACAGCAAGTTCTGATGATCCGCATCAGTTTCCTCCAGGAAGGTAATAAACTGACGGTGCTGAAGTCCCCTTGCTCGTATAAAGTTCACAAATTTCACGACTGGATTCACGACACGATTAAGCTGCAATATAGACTTACACAGGGATTCCTGTTGGATGATGCAGTGAAGGAAAATAAGATCCTGGACAGGGTTTTCCTCTTTCACTTTATCCTGGATTCTTTTCAGCAGCCCAACATTTTTTCCAGTTAAATTTGGCGATCCATCCGTTGTGACATTGACAAGTTTATTTCAAGGTAGCGTCATTCTTTCGATGACAGCAGATACCTGGTTATACAAGTCCTCTCCCCGAGTTGTTCCTTTCAGGGACTCCATGGTCAAAAACTCATCTGTTATCGCAAAACTGTCGTCAATGCCTCAGATAAAAATGAGGAGCTGAGCAGCGTCTTTTACGTCCGTACTTTCATCCAGTGCTAGTGAATATAATTCAAAGGAATCAGACTTTTTGTTTAATTGACTGGCTATATTTTTATCAATCAGTTCCACACGGCGAGTCACAGTCCTGCGTGATAAATTTACTTTTTCAAATTTGCTTTTGATCTCCAGACACAAGATGTCTGCTGTCTGTACCATGCATTCTTTTACAAACTTGCCTTCGGAGAAAGTGGTAATGAGTGATAATGTTGGTGAAAAGAAAGTTTTAAAGAAAATTTTGATCGAAGTGAAGAAGGAAATTAATGAAAAGTTTGTATAATTAATGATTTTTCAAACTTTATTCATGTTTTCTGTGCTTAAAACTCTTTAAAAAAACTGTGGGGTCTAGAACGGACTCGTGAAATTCGGAGAAAACTCGGAGTTAAGTTTTGTTTGTTTTCTTGAATTACACAAAGCGTAACAGTTATGTATGTCACTTTTGTTATTTAAAATTCCTAGTAAAATATTAATTTTGTGAGTGTAGTCACACCCCTCCCCCTCATTCAAGCCGTAATTTAGAGACCGAAAGCGCCAAGTACGTAAATCGCTAACATAAGAACCCGTCAATCTCTTCTCGCATCATTCATACGATGATGCGGTGAAGTAAACGTTCATACGATATTACGGTGAATACTTCCAAAAACAATACTGTACCCAAATATTACTGTTAACTTACTTTCAATAGAAACATGAATTGCTCATACGAATATTCTCTCTCTCTCAGAATCGACCGACTGATGTAGCAGACGAAACAATCATCTTGTTGAGCGATTCTAAACCTTGATGCGGCAATGTTAGTTTTCTCTGTTGTTCAAGGTTTTCTCAATGTTATTCAATTTTTTTACATTTAGATTACTATTACACTGAGTTCTATGGTGTAATTAACTATTTTTGTGCTTAATAATGTAAAAAAAAACAATATTTATATACAGATCGTAGGAGTCTGGAACCGATTAATTGTATTTACATACAATCCAATGGGGAAATTAGGTTCGAGTCACGACCAAATCGGGTTGCGACCAAAGTTATAGAACGAATTATGGTTGTTGGGGCCGCTGGCCCCCGAGGTCTCTCCCTGCTGGGCGCCGACTGCAGGGGACTGCCGTTTCCCGACCCCTCACTGGTGTGCGAACAGCTGCTGCCGCCGCTGGGCTCATCACTCGCGGGGTAAGGGCTGTCGCCCGACGGCTCCCCTCCCTGGGTCGCACCCCCGCGAGTTCGCGAGAGAGGCATGGCTCGTCGCCGGCTCCCGGACACTGCGTTGCCTCTCTGCCAATCAAACGCGACGCCTCCCCTCACACAGTCCCGTGCAGCAATCACACGCTCTGAACGGGGGGTCAGGGGTCGGAGGGCGAATGACGTTGCTCGCACACGCGCGGCCGCCGTGAGCGGGTGATAACGCTCGTTTAAAGGGGCCGTGGAACAGGTGTTCACGGTGGGTGTGAGCCCTCACACAGCACGAGTTTCCCCGGCGACAGAACGGAGCGTGCACCCGTGGAAACACCGACCACCCACGTTACGAGCGCACACACACACAGCACCACGCGCTTTCACCCACTTGTCCAAACCACACGAGGCTGCGATGGGTTATTAATGATTTATTATCGGCCGACTGTGGTTCACTGGTGGGTCAGTATGGATCGGCAAGGCAGGTCTACACTATCGCCCAAGGGTCTGAACCCGATTTATCTAATTTGATAGGCTCTAAGCGGTTCTGGTTTCTCTAGCCTCTATCCCAATACTCTCTTTCCTCTTACCCACGGTTAGATGCGCACGGCGTTCCGGTGGTCTCGTCCTCGCGGCTCACCTCGACGCGTCACACGGACGTTCGAGTGGCCGAGCTGGAGACCGTCCCGAGGGCTAACTTTTGGAGCAAGAGAGGGCTCTACCTGTCTGCGCCCCCCTTTTATCGTTAACCTACATCAAAGAAAGCCACCCCGAAGGCCTTCTCGGCCAATCAGGTCGCCGTACCGGTTCAGCCGCATTCCCGGTTTCCCGAACAATGGGCCCCCGCTGGCTGCGGCGCTGGTCCACGTGCGCTTTTGCTATGCTAATCAGCCGCGGTTTCCGTAACAAAGGGCTCGCCACGGGCTGCTGCGCGGCGGCGGCCCCCGAGCACACCCGCTATGCCAATCAGCCGTCCACCCTGGCTTCTCCCCTCGTTCGTGGCTGCGGCCCCCCCTGCCTGCCTTGCCGATCCGTGTGTGTGGGGGGGGGTGCGTTTCAACCGTGGTGGCTGGGCAGCCCCTGCCGGGACCATGAAATCTCAACCCAGGTCACAGCGCCGCGGTGCGAATTAGCATCGGGGGAGGTCACCCAATTCCCTGGTCGCAGGAAACCGTGAAGATTATCCCTATGAGGGCTTTCGGGTGAAAACCTGTTGGCCAGGTGACCTCCCCTCCGAGCTCTATGGGGTTGAATTGTGTGAGGGTGTGTTTATGTGGGGAGCGGTGAGGGGGAAGCGGGGTCGGCCCCGTCGCTTGGTGGTGGCGAGGTTGTAGATGGGGCGCCCGCCGAGCAGCTTCGCGGCGGCAGCATCACATGTTCGTGACCAGAGGCTCTACTGTACACCACACTCCCGGTCAAAGTGTGCCATCTAATGGGGAAATGGGGGCATTACAGGAGGAAGGTAAATTTTAATTTACTAATAATATTTGGACAAGTTCGGCGGGCCGGATTAAAAAGCCCAATGGGCCGTATACGGCCCGTGGGCCGTACTTTGCCCATGTCTGGTCTAGTGACTTCATCAAGGCTTTAAAAATCTGTGGACTACCTGACTGGTTGTACTTCCGGAGTAGATCCTGCATCTCTTATGTCCAGCAAGCAATGCATTATTTCTGAAAGCCCTGAGGTATACTTTTTTTGACAGCCATGGTAAGGAGGCCAACAAACCGGTGATAACATTCTGGATTCAAATAACTTCGTTGATGGGTTCCCTTTAGCAGTCCCTGCCAGCTTTGGGCAGGTTCCACCGTGGGATTCGTTTCAACATCACAGGGATTTCAATGTTGACGTGGGTGATGATGGGTCTATGTTGAGGAAGCTCGCGAACACATATTCCGGCATGCGTTGAAGTGTGCTTCCACTTCGTTCTTGGTAAATGATGGTCAGGTCTGGGTTGTAGTTGCATTTCCAGCAAGCGGAGTGGAACTTTTATCAATGTTTTGCATCGAAGACCATTTTCAGATCTCTCTGTGGACATCCAGTCCATGAGGTCATCAACTCACTACACTTGAGAACCAGGATTAATCATAGGCCGCTGCCTGGATTTGAACCCAAGTCTCAGCGGAGTCAGTACAGCTTTCTAATGTGTGAACCACTCAGTCACCAAACCAATGATGAAACTCTGTGAATAAAAAGTGTGCATGGATACAGGATTGTGATACTCACCCTCTTTTGTGGATGCAGTAGATTGCCACAATTATTAAGATTATTGCTATAGCACCAACAACTCCTGAAGCTATATAGATCCAAAACAGCCATGGACCTGAACGTCCCACAGACACAACATATCCACAGATATGTTTTGGCATACAATAGAAGGGGGAAATAAAATATGACCTCAGCATACCTGATGAGCATTAACCATCTTTGAATCTTGATACATTCTAATTGTAATGGAATCAAAAATATGACACCTGAAATAAATATATATACAATATTTAAACTGTACTTATGTTATGAAAAATAAGAATAGGTGTTACCCTTTCTAACAATAAAATAGGTGTTAAGATTTTCAAACACCAAATATATATTTTGCATTAATTAGCAAGAAACTGAAGGCATTGAAGAGAAGGCACACATGTGCAAGGCAAGGTTGGCTACGTTTTGTGTGAAACAAGTTATTTTTACATGCAAGGTTGAGTTGTGAGCTGTGCATACCCTTCACGGTGATGGTCACTGTTTTAGCCACAGACATCGAACCGTCCTCCAATTGAGCAACACACGTGTATGCCCCTGAATCTAACGAGGACACGTTTAGGCGAGTGAGAATGTGGCCATCTTCTTTCCGTTTGCCATCCTTCACAAGTGGAAATAATAACAAATGAGCCTCAGATACATTATATCACGAAAATGTGTGCTGACAATGAAAATAATTGGACACACATCCCCATCAGAAATAACTAGCCAATGTGAAAACTACAAAACTACATGAACAACAAGGAATACCCTAATTCAGACATGGCATTTAGACATGATCAAGTGAAAACACAGCAAGGCTTAAGTCATGGTAGCTAATTCAGTCCATCTTGATGACAGAGCTAAGCCCTCCTCATCCAATGATCTCCTTTCACGAACATTGATGAACTTGTTAAAAATTATTATGATGATAAATCAGTCACTTAAGATGAATAACCATAACGCTCTTATTTCATATAGCCGGATAAGAAAATCAACAGTGTTGAAACGTGTTATAGTTGAATGCTACATTTTTTCCACCCATCCAAGGAGGCAGTAGATGATGTATTAATCTCCATGACACTACCATGATGCGTAGGGATAGCATATTCATCGGTGATGTGTTTGATGGTTTTGACCACATTCGCAGCATGGCGATTCTTTTAGTTTCCATTCGTGGAAGGTGTTCATCATTATGCTGAACAATCACTCTTATTGTAATATCATGGCTTGGCTTCGCGAACGAAGATCTAGGAAGGACATCCACGTCTTCTGCAGGCACGCTGGTGGCTGAAGAGGCCTATGCGGGACAAGCAGGTCCTGCCACAACAGCTGCAAGTATAGGTCTCATCTGGGATGGGTGCTGAGGGATCATGGTTCTTCCTCCTCCTTTTGTCCACCATACGGGCCCTGCGGGTATCTTCGAAGAAGGAGGTGGCCTGGTGGACTGTGCCGCCAGGAGTTGCGATCAGCTGCTTGTGTTGCCCACTGACGGTGATCGATGCAGCAAGCAGTGAGGGACTTCTTCAGGGAGTCTTTGTATCGCTTTCGTGGTGCCCCTATGTCGCGATGGCCAGAGGACAGTTCCCCATACAGCACAATCTTAGGTAAGCGGTGGTTCTCCATCCTGGCGATGTGCCCTGCCCAACGAAGCTGTGTCTTGAGGACCATGGCCTCGATGCTGATGACCTTCGCTGAATTGAGGACTTCAGTGTTGGCGACGAAGTCACTCCAGTGAATATTGAAGATTGTGCGGATGCAGCGCTGATGGAAACGCTCGAGGAGACTCAGGTGACGACGGTACGTGACCCAGGACTCAGCGCCATACAGGAGAGTGGTCAGCACAACAGCTTTGTAGACGTTGACCTTTGTGGCTCTTTTAAGGTTTCTGTTGTTCCAGACACGTTTGTATAGTCTGCCAAATGCACGGTTTATAAATCTTCTTGGTTCTTTCGGTAAAGTCACGTAGAATGGAAATAATAAAATAATAAAAATAAAACTTTATAAAATAATTCTCACGACGTGTCTTCTCGACTACAAATACTGATATTACAATAGGAGGGCGGCATCGGGAGCTGCTTTTGCTGACGATGCCGCCCTCCTATTGTAATATCAGTATTTGTGAAAATCACAGACCAAAACAGAGGTGATAAATGACAAGAAGCTGATGATCAATATTGACAAATATTGACGTCAGTGATGTTCTGATGGCCTTTGACCAAAGCACCAAGAATGCTCCGATCTCATCAGATCTTGGAAGCTCAGCAAGGTGGAGCTGGATAATGATTAGATGGGTGACCACCATGCAGGTATTATAAGTTGTGGGGCTATATTGTGTGCAGCAAATGTTAGAGCAGCAAAATCAATTATTGGAATATATTTCAATGCTCCCATGTCTATGTTGCCCGCCTTCACCAACCAACACTGACCAGCGTGGTGAAGTATGGTTAAAATAATCCCCACGACCTGCACAGCATGTGGAGGCTCTCATTCAGCAGTGGATTGACAAAGGATTGTAAATGTATATGTATAATGTCCTGATGATGTTAGCAGTGATGATGGTGATGCTGTACCTTATTCCAATGGTAGGTGGTTTTTCTAAACGCTCTTGCATTGCACGTCATCGTAATGTTTTCTCCTTCATTGACCTCTCCATCAGGAACTCCCAGTATCTGTACCTCGTTAATACCTGGGTGAATCCAGATAAATCAAAACGCACAGGTATATATTTCTGAACACTGACACATTTACAATGATTCCCTCCCCACCACCCTTCCAATTCCCCTTTTTAATGTACCCACAATACCAATAATCCCTGTGATCGCTTCCTACACTAACAGTACTGGCTGATGTTTTCCCACATAAAAACACCATTCTTGAGAACATGTTAGCATTATATGCTTTACTGCTGGGGGCTTAATTAAAGCCTCGTTTTAAACTCACATTTACCACACCAGAATGATTGTTTTGTGGTTAGAGGGCACACATGTGTAGTGAAATAGAATATATCACTACGGCGCATAGCGCTAGATACAGTAGTATGAGGGAATGTGGACGTAGCAGCCAGCACAACATGTAATGCCACGCAGTGGGTGACTAGGGTGCGTGGTGCTGGCTGCTGGCAGAGAGGGGCATGAGTCCTACCGACAGAGCAGGGTATAGCAGCTATGCCGCCAGCACAGCATGTAATGCCACGCAGTGGGTCACTAGGGGGCGTGGTGCTGGCTGCTGGCGGAGGGGGGGGGGGCATGTGGGGACACGGCACCCCGGCCGGCTGGCGAAGCACGTGATGGGCCGGGGTGAGGGATGTAGGGCAAAGGTGACCGAGGGGACACGGGGAGCATGGCCCAGGACCTTCTGGAGGGTTCCAGAAGGGGGCGTGGTTAAGTGCGGAGCCGGGCAGGTGTCACGTGGGGGCGGAGCAGGGCAAGTGTCACGTGGGGGCGGAGCAGGGCAGGTGGCATGTGGAAGGTGGCCCAGAACTTCCTGGAAGGTTCCAGAAGGGGGCGTGGCCGAGGGCGGAGCCAGGCCACGCGAAGGGGCATAAAAGGGACGCCCCGAGGCTGAATCGGGGCTGTCTACAGGTGGAATGTAACCCGAGGTGCTACGTCTTTGTCTTCGTCTGTCTCCGGCGTCATGGGCAGACAGCATGTTGGCTGCTCTGACCCGTAAATAGTTATCCCGTGTGTGAACAGTGTGTAAGATATATAGTGTAGAATAAACGTTGCCTCCTAAAAGAGTGTCTCGGAAGAGACTCAGTACACATGTACAAGAAAGGTTGAGTTGTGAACTGTGCATACCCTTCACGGTGATGTTCACTGTTTCATCCACAGACACCGAGCCGTCCTCCAATTGAGCAACACACGTGTATGACCCTGAATCGTATGAGGTCACGTTTAGGCGAGTGAGAATGTGGCCATCTTCTTTCCATTTGCTATCCTTCACAAGTGAAAATAATCACAAATGAGCCTCATTAGTACATATGTTATGAGTAAAAATTGTTCTGATAATGAAAATAATTGGATACACATTCACATCACAAATAACTAGCTAATGTGAAAACTGCAAAACTACATGAACAACAAGGAATACCCTAATTCAGACGTGGCATTGAGATATAATCAAGTGAAAACACAGCAAGGCATTACAATGCTAACATGAGAACATGTTAGCATTGTATGCTTTACGTGACTTTACCGAAAGAACCAATAAGAAGATCATGGTAGCTAGTTCAGTTCATCTTGATGACAAAGCTAAGCCCTTACTCATCCAATTACCTCCTTTCACAAATATGAATGAACTTGTAACAAATTATTACGATGATTATGATGATAAATTAATGACTTAAGATGAATAACCATAACGCTCTTATTTCATATAGCCGGATGAGAAAAATCAACAGTGTTGAAACGTCTTCTTAGTTCTTTCGATAAAGTCACGTAGAAGGGAAATAATAAAAATAAAACATGTGAAAGTTGAATGCTACATTTTTTCCACCCATCCAAGGAGGCAGTAGAAGCTGTATGGATATCAATGACACTAACATGATGCGTATGGATGGCACATTCATCGGTGATGTGTTTGATGGTTTGGACCACAATCGCAGCATGGCGATTCTTTGAGTTTCCATTCGTGAAAGGTGTTCATCATTATGCTGAACAATCACTCTTATTGTAATATCAATATTTGTGAAAATTGCAGACAAAAACAGGTAGTAAATTACAAGAAGCTGATGATCAATATTGACAAATATTGACATCAGTGATGTTCTGATGGCCTTTGACCAAAGCACCAAGAATGTTCTGATTGTAAATGTATATGTATAATGTCCTGATGATGTTGGCAGTGATGATGGTGATGCTGTACCTTATTCCAATGGTAGGTGGTTTTTCTAAATGCTCTTGCATTGCACGTCATTGTAATGTTTTCTCCTTCGTTGACCTCTCCATCAGGAACTCCCAGTATCTGTACCTCGTTAATACCTGGGTAAATACAGATAAATCAAAACGCACAGGTGTATTTTTATGAACACTGACACATTTACAATTATTCCCTTCCTAGCTCCCTTCCAATTCCGCTTTTTAATGTTCCCACAATACCAATAATGCCTGTGATCGCTTCCTCCACTAACAGTACTGGCTGATGTTTTCCCACATAAAAGCACCATTCATGAGAACATGTTAGCATTGTATGCTTTACTGCTGGGGACTTAATTAAAAACTCGTCGAAAATTCTCACACTTTCCACACCGGAATGGTTATCTTGTGGTTAGAGGGCACACGTATAGAAACAGTGCATGTGTGGAGACAGTGCAGGTGCAGGAACAGTGCATGGCCTAGTGGTCACGAGGAGTAATTACAGGGGTTAATATTAATAAAGGGCGAGTTGTGACAAGGGGGAAACCATTTGGGAAGTTCAGGAACGGGCCAAAGTTCGAGAAAGGAGGCGTGCCTGGGGGCGGAGTGAGGGCCACGCCGGGGATAAAAGGAGGCGCGAGGCAAGGTTCGGGACTGCCGTGGGATTGGGGTCGACTGTCTGTGGACTGTCGCCGTCTTCACGCTTTCGCTGTCTTCGCATCGGCGCTGTCTTCGCGTCGTCTCCACTCGTGTGCCATCCCTGGCCCAAGTTACCTGCGTGTCATCCCTGGCCAAGTTATCTGTGTGAAGCACCCTAAATAAAAAATAAAGCAACCCTCTACAGTTTGTGTTGTCTGAGAGTCATTACACATGTGTAATGATATGGTGACACCTGCTGGCCTGGAAGGGGAATCACAGGTATGGGCACGGTTAAGTAACAACCAATCAGAGAAAGAGGTGTATCTGGGGCAAAGGTAAAAGGTGGGGCTAGCCGAGAAACTCCGGGAACCTGCTCGAAGGTTCCACGAGAGGGAATGGCTGGAGGCGGGGCCTAGCCACGCCTGGGGGATATAAGGGGGAGCGGACCCGGGGCTCGGGGCTCGTGTGTGGGGTCTGGGTCCTGGCTACGTCGCTGCTCGCCGTCATCTCTCTCCGTCGTCTGGCCACGTGGAAGATCTCCTGCGTGGTTTCCATCGCCATCATTGTCATGCGACCAGCCAGCGGCGTAGCCGAGTGAGGCCGATGAGACCACGCCGAGTGATCGGCTGCGTGTAGCCAGTAGAGACGTTAATATCTAGAGTGGTACCCAGTGTAAGGAAGAATAAGTGTTGGCCTGTGTTGTGCCCAGTGTGAGTAATAAAGAAGAAGTACCCTCTACACGATGTGTAACGGAAGTCGCTCATTACACATGTACAAGGCAGGTTGAGTTGTGAGCTGTGCATACCCTTTACGGTGATGTTCACTGTTTCATTCACGGACATCGAGCCGTCCTCCAATTGAACAACACACGTGTATGACCCTGAATCGTATGAGGTCACGTTTAGGCGAGTGAGAATGTGGCCATCTTCTTTCCGTTTGCCATCCTTCACAAGTGAAAATAATCATAAATGAGCCTCATTAGTACATATTTTATGAGTCAAATTTGTGCTGACAATGAAAATAATTGGATACACGTTCACATCACAAATAACTAGCTCGTATGAAAACTACAAAACTTTCTAAACAGGAAAACCCTAATTCAAACATGACATTCAGACATGATCAAGTGAAAACACATCAAGGCATTAGTCATGGTAGCTAGTTCAGTACATCTTGATGACAGAGTTAAGTCCTTCCTCATGCAATCACCTTTTTTCACGAACAATGATGAACTTAAATCCTGACTTAAAGCTTTCGTGACTGCAAGAATTCATATTCTTTCGGTCTTTTGGTAAATTAACATAGATAGGTTCAAATAAATAATCAACAAATAACATCAGGATGATGACGACCGCTTGTGTTGCGATCGAAACGTCGTAGTTTTTTGATATTTTTTTTATTTTCTTTGACCCTATCTACGTGACTTTACCGAAAAACCCAAAGGAAAATGATGAACTTGTTACAAGTTATTATGATGATGATGATGATGATTCAATCACTTAAGTTTAATGAACATAACGATCTTATTTCATAGAGCAGGATTAAAAAAAGCAACAGTGTTGAATCGTGTTATAGTTGAATGCCACGTTTTTTTTCAACCAATCCAAAGAGGCAGTAGATGCTGTATGGATCACAATGACACTGCGATGATGCCAATGGGTGGTGCATTCGTCGGTGATGTGTTTGATGGTTTGGACCACAGTCGCAGCATGTCCATTCTTTGATTTTCCATTCATGGAAGGTGTTCATTATTATGATGAATAATCACTCTTACTGTAATATTAGTACTTGTGAAAATCACAGACAAAAATACAGTTCATGGTCTATATTGACAAATATTGACTTCAATTATGTTTTGATGGCCTTCGAGAAAATCACCCAGAATGCTCCGATTTCATCAGATCTTGGAAGATAAGTAGGGTTGAGCTGGAGAGTCCTTATATGGGCGACCACAATGCAGGTATCAGCTGTGCAGCTATATTGTGTGCAGCAGAGGGTAGCACAGCAAAATGCATTATTCTAATGTACTTCAATGCTCCCATGTCTATGCTGCCCACCTTCACCAATCAACACTGACCAGAGTGGCGAATTATAGTAAAAAATAACTGCTATGACCTGCACTGCATGGGGAGGCTCTCATTCAGTAGTGGATTGACAATGGATTGTAAATGTATATGTGCAATATTATGATGATGTTGGCAGTGATGACGGTAATGTTGTACCTTATTCCAGTGGTAGGTGATCTTTGTAAATGCTCTTGCATTGCACGTCATCGAAATGTTTTCTCCTTCGTTGACCTCTCCTTCTGGAACTCCCAATATTTGTACTCCATCAATACCTGGGTAAATACAGATAAATCAAGACGCAGAGATATATTTTTCTGAAAATTGACAATGATACAATGATGCCCTCCCCTTCTCCCTCAATTCCCCTTTTTGAATTTTACTACAATACCAATAATCAATATGATCCCTTCCCACACGAACAGTACTAGCTGCTGTTTTCCCACATAAAAGCACTTCCTAAGAATGTTCGCTATGTATGCTTTACTGGTATGTGTTTCATTAAAACCTAGTTTCAAAATTGATGGCATTTTACACACCAGAATGGTTGTCTTGGGGTAAGAGGGCACACATGTACAAGGCAGGTTGAGTTGTGATCTGTGCATACCCTTCACGATGATGTTCTCTGTTTTGTCTACAAATATTGAGCCTTCAACCAATCCAGCAACACACGTGTATGACCCAGAATCAGATAAGGACACGTGGAGGCGAGTGAGAATGTGGCCATCTTCATTCCATTTGCCATCCTTCACAAGTGAAAAGCATCACAAATGAGCCTCAGTACATCCTTTATCAGTAAAATGTATGCTGAAAATGAAACCTATTAGATAAACATTCACACCCCAAATAATTAGCTAAAGTAATAGCAATATTTGTGAAAATCACAGACAATAGAGGTGATAAGTGACAGTAATATCTGTTGGCTTTTGACCAAATCATCCAGAATGTGCCCAAATCTCATAACATCATGGAAGCTAAACAGAGTTGAGCCTGGATAGTGCTTGGATGGGCTACCAGCATACAAGTATAGCAGACACTCTCCTCACCAACACTTAAAGGTTACCATTCTAAACAAATCCGGGTGAAATTAATCCTTGGTTCATATTATTGGGTCTTTCGGTAAAGTCACGTAGATAGGTTCAAAGAAAATAACAAAAAATAACAAAAAACTACGACGTTTCGATCGCAACGCAAGCAATCGTCATCAGGAAGAAAATAGCAGGAAAGCTGCTGAGGCAGGATGTTTTAAAGGTTTGAAATGGGTGTAGCCCAAGGGTCATAAGCGAAGTGGGCGGGGCTAGTGACGTCAAGTGAGGAATTTGCATGTCAATGTAAGATCGTAGAGCTACCTCCACGACGACGAAGCTGCAGAGGTGGCCATTGTAATGTGAGAGATTAGCATGTCAATGTAACCTTTTAAACATCCTGCCTCAGCAGCTTTTATCCTGATGATGATTGCTTGTGTTGCGATCTAAACGTCGTAGTTTTTTTTCTTATTTTTGGTATTTTCTATGAATCTACATACAATTTTAAAATGCTGTTGATTCTCTCTTCAACACACCGGTGGGCTAAAGAAGTGAATAATTTTGTCCTTTGAAAAACGTGACACATTTTTTACTGTTTGGCCATGTCAGGTGGTGGAGGGTTACGACACATTTATAAATAACGCGATCTGACCCAAAAACCTATTTTATGAATAAAGCTTTCGTGACTGCAGGGATTCATATTCTTGGTTCTATGTGACTTCACTGAAAGACCCAAGAATATGAATTCCTGCAGTCGCGAAAGCTTTAAGTCAAGATTTAATCCCTGGTTGTACCTTATTCCAATGGTAGGTGATATTCCCAGATGAGCTTGCGCTGCACGTCATCGTGATGTTATCCCCTTCGTTGACTTCCCCATCGGGAATTCCCAGTATTTGTAGCCTCTCAATATCTGGGGTAAAATGCAGACAGGCCACACAGGACTCTTTCTATGAACACCGATGCATTTATAATGGGCAAAGGGTGTTTGTGTTAAACACGAGTACTTACAATGCACGTTTATGTCATGTTCTGCCCGAACTGTGGTCTCCACAGTATCACGAGCTTGACAACTATAAACACCATTTTGATTCCGCTTAATATCTGGGATCGTCCACACGTTCTCAGTGCGTTCATCACCAAGCTGAATTGACTCCTGAAGAAGCAATGAAATATTTTCAGGTTATACAAAAATACGTAATTTTGTTCAACAAGAAGAGTTTGCTAAGGCAATTGATTTTAATAGTTTTCCTTGCATCTGCAATTTTCATGGGGTGATTTTTTTTTGTTATCACCAAACAATAATAGAATAGAGCTTGCAGGATACATTACATATTGCTGCACTTTACATATATATTGTGTTAATCCATTTAAGGGCGCTTAATTTTTTATTATAAAACCTCAACCAATTACTATACAATCTATCAGATACTCTTTGGTTCTTTCGGTAAGGTCACATAGGTAGAAAAAATAATAGATTACGACGTTGCGATCGCAACGCAAGCAATCGCCTGATGACGATGGCTTGAGTTGCGATCGAAACGTCGTGATCTATTCTTTTTCTACCTACGTTACTTTACCGAAAGAACCAAAGAGTATAGATTCCTGCAGTCACGAAAGCTTCAAATCGAAATCTATCCAATATCTTAAAAATACGAACTCTCATATACAGAGGTTGTAAGATTGACAATAAAATACTGTTCTTTCAAAAAAGCTTGTTACTTTGAACATTGGTAGCACCATCTATTGGACATCTTTACTCTTAACTGTTAAGCAATTTTCTTTGTACCATGGAATATAAGTAGAGAGATTATTTGGAACACATGGCTTAACAGGTCACCTCATTTTGGAAGAGCTATTCTCTCAGCATTTTTTTTTAAATGAGACCTGTCCCTCCGGATTACCACTTTTGGTACATTTGCTAAATGTTAATACTAAATAAGTCCAGTAGATGGCAACACCGACTATCAAAAACAGTGTTTACTAAGGTACAATCCTGTTTTGTCTATGTTAACATCAGCACACGTTCGATATATTGCACGCTTGTGAGTGTAAGCTTGATAGACCCACCATGAGGCAACATCCGCTTGGAGTGCAGCACCTAAACTCGCTACAAGTTTGGTCATAGTGTTATGTATATCGTTTATTGTTCAATTTAAATCACAGTTCCTATGATTACTGTTGTTACATTGTTTTTATAGCTTTATTTGAGTGATTTGAAAACATATGGTTAATCTAAATTGTCTTATTGTTGTTGGCTTGCACCACATTGTGATTTTTTTACACAGCGTTTTAATACTTTTTTTGGGGGGGGGGGGGATACTTGCTGGTTTATTCCAGGATGTTTCTGTTACGCGTCATCGCTTTGGGATGTTCTGTGTTCATATTTTGTTTGTTGCGGTTGCATCCGACTTAAGAGCCGCATGGCTCACAGGGCTCTACCTAATCAATGAAACTTGAAACTGTCGCTGAATTCGAGCAGGCTGCTAAAGTTGTTTTTACTTGCGTCCATATCTGTCCATATGTATTATGTGCGTTTGTAGATTTAAATTTCCCATGAACCTAACTAAATGGAGGCTCCATTAATGAACTGGCTTGTCATCCAAGAGAGCCTATTTGATGGACAGACTGGCATCAGCCTGGGGTGATTAATTTGCTAAACTACAATCCTGAGTAAAACTAAACTGCATGAGTGAGCTGAAGCATGGCTTTGCTCTTCACCACCCGGATCACTTTGGTCCTCTGTACGACGAAAATTCCGTTACTGATTGACAGATTGATGAACAAATAAAGGTTCTTATATGTTCAGGACTGCAGTTTTAAATGATTCACGCTGTCCATGGGATGGGCTGGTATGGGCTTGCACGAGATATACAAGCAGTAAAAACTTCTCTCTCATGGTAGTATGAACGCATAAACTATTTTCAATTCCGTTTTTTTTTCTCACTTGGGTAAAGTCATGTCACATGTAGCTCAACAGCAACAACACAGTGCCCTGCTGCTTTCAGTCAAAAATAAGTGCTTAACTCTTACAATAAAAAAAACATAACACAAGTGTGCTGAGCTTGATTGAAAAAACGATGGATACGTTATATTTTATATACATGAGGATGCTTTTTAACCATGATATGTGGTGGAAATCGATAAGCGGTTTCATCAGCAAGAGAATGGGCAACCAAACTTGCCAAGCACACGCACCTGGAAGAAGGTGTATATAATATGAGGTAAGAGACCATAAGTGACGCAGGTCAGTGTGACGGTGTCTCCCTCCTGGATGAAGTTCGAAGGAGACACCTCGAGGATGGTAGGCTCTGCAAGTAGGCCACAGAGAAACGGGTTACAAAATATACCGAAAGTTAACCATTTTGATTTTACCAGATGAGGTCCACTGAACTATATAGCTCTTTTTTCAGAAGCGGCCTGGTCACAAATTAAAGCCCCAACGAACAGCACATTTACATTTGCATGACCGTAACCCACAAAACTTTAGCATGAATAATATCAGTCTGAAAAGCCGATGTGTTCATTTTCTGGGATGTTTATAGCAGTTGGCTTGAAGACAAAGTGCCCCAAATATTAATACTGGCCTTTCAGCAAATCACCGGCAATGTACCTGATTTTGTCAGATGGGTGACAGCCATACAAATATGACAGGTCGTAATGCTACGTGATGGACAGGAGAGGGTAGTGCAGCAAAATCCACTGTTATTGATTGCCACCAAAACCAGTCCACACTGATCTGCGTAATGAAATATGATCAAATAGCCCCCACAACTTATACGGTGTGGGGAGGCCCTCATCCAGCAGTTGCTTAATCATTTCAACTTGTAATGTGCACGGTGTTGGCTCACTCTCAAAGAGAGGGAACAACTCAGATGCACCAGGAACCAGAGACAAGCAGGAAGGGAGTCAGGTGGTGAGTTTGTGTGTTTTCAGCCAATTAATGAGTGTTTTCTCGTGGGAGGAAACCGGAGCACCCAGAAAAAAACCCACGTGTGCTATGGAGCGCACACTATCCCATACAGACGGAACAGGTGAAGTCCACATTTGCTGTACCACCTTCTCCTACCGAGTCAGCCAGGGTATGGTATCTCGAAACCCACGGGGGACGGAGTTTCACAACATTTGTGTGATCCGCCAACCATCGCTACCTCCACGGCGCTGGCCTACAAACGTGCACCACCACCGCCTGGCGGATTGACAAAAGGGCTTGACAAGTACTAATTGATGCATTATTTCACCCATACTTCATTCCATTTCCTACACCCTGGTTCCTTAGCAAGCAGCGAACGTCCAGTTCACCGCCACCTTCAGTGTCTGGTGAGGTCTAAATACGCATCATTTTAAACCAGCAAAAAAACATCTTAATTTCACACAAGCTTTGGGATACCAGGACACCCTTTCTGAACCCAGGACTGACCCTGGCCAAACAACAATTTTTTTGACATCCTTATCCACGACCTCGGGCCAAGATATCACTTATAGTTCATATTATAGCAGTAAACGTACTGTTCACAGGTTAGTCGTATGTCTATCGAGGACATGTATTCTACGGCTCCGTCAGGGGTCATGATCGAGCAGTGGAACGGGCTCGTTGTGCCTGTCTCCTGGGGTCGGATCTTCAGCACGGAGCTCACTGTGAACATTCCAATATCGTTCCTCGACACCTCCGTCTTGATCTCCACATCTGAGCAGAGACAAGCACAGTCATCCACAAAAACTCTTAATCACGTTGACTGCGATGTTTCTGACACGATTTCAACATTTGCACGTTATTCAACCATGAGGATTAAAGAGCTCGCCTAAACATTTGACAGCATATACATACAAAAAATTACTCCAAGCAAAAAAAATGTGTAAAGCGGTGATAAATTTTGCTGTAAAAAGGTACCAAATTTGTCAGCATACTGCCTAAATTGATAGGGATGGCAAGTACGTGATTTGTGCTTCAGTTAAAAAAAAAGATATCGTACAGTACTTGACTAAGATGAGTAACAATACCAACATTGCAAAATTCTACCAGTGACAAATAAATGAAATAAACTATTTCTTGTGGAAGATGGTAGGTGTTCCGCATTCCTAGAATCCATTTTATTCATGTTTCCATAGCGATTGCGAATCCTACACGCTTTGTAACATTGATAATAAGGAAGACAACACATCTAATGATTGTGTAAGGATTTCCAACATGCATCTGTTCTAGGAAGTGTTTCATTATCCATACCATTCCAAGCTGCACTACGGGATGATGTCACGTGCCAAATGTTATTGCCTCGACCAGTAAAGTGAATCCCTTAGCACTGATTTCATTGGCAAGTTTTGGGCAACTGCTTTCATAATTCTGAATGGATTCCTAACGGGTTAGCCTTTAATAGCAACACAAATTGAATGTAAAATTTACTTAATATTGGATCATCTTTACCAGTTATTGTGACTCCCATTACAGGCTAATACAAACTCTCAAGCTTAGTGGGAAAGCATCGACATTTTTCGCGACAAAAGTGCAAACACATCTTGTATATTACACAATTGCATTGTTGTCTTCAAGACACACAGACATTTCATATAATATTTATTACATATGTACAGTGCCCGTTTATTACCTCTGCTTTCGTAGATTCGTTTCCACGTTTTAAACCAAGCAAGTTCGGGCTGAGGATATCCTTCAGCAACGCAGTCTGCGACCTGTTGGGGGTTAGGACCACTTCAGAGGTCACTTGTCACTGGTGTTGGCTTATAACTGGGGATAAAACCCAGGTCGCTGGGCTCATAGTGCAGCACCACAACACACCCGGTGTACATATGTTCATAAGCGTTACTGTCATATCTTTTTCACTATATGAGGGATGAAATTACAAAGTCAGTTAAAGATAATGACGTGTTCCAAGAACACATTTTCCACAAAATTACGTTAACGTCAATTATTTAAATTGACAACAATGTGTGTTTTCCGTGCTGATGATATGTATTGTTTGCAGAGGATCTTGCTAATTAAATTCATCCACATAATGCATAACCAACCATTCAGTTTCCAAGGTGCAAGTGTGACCGATGGCTCAAACTCGCACCTTTTTGAGACTTTAAAACTATGACTTTACATTTTCAAAGAATGTTGAGTGGGCCAACAACAATAGGCAACTTCTTTGTCACTGTTAAATTAGGGATATGCTGCCTTAACTTACCAAGAAACAAACAAAAAGCGGGTGGAAGGCATAGGCCATGACACTGGATCACTTACTTTTTGAAATGTGTTGTCAATGAATAGTGGATGTGTACTTTCAGACAATTTCAGATCGGGAAATGCTAGAAAATTTAAACAAAGAAATAACATGCATAAAACATACAACAGGCAATGTAATTATCTGACCAGGTAGTGCTGTAGCTTAAGCATATAACTCATAGCGTAAGTCCTCGTTTAATGCGGTAGATGCTTTCCTGCAAAGTGCCGCATTAAGCGAAAAACACATTTAGTGAAATCAATTGCCCCATAAATAAGATGACAATAAAGTTTGACGAGGTATGATGTACGCACAGGCAGTGAGATGGCGGGACACATAACTGAGGGTACGTCGCCACGTTACTGAGCATCATTCTGCATACTGTGTCATAGCGCTCAGCCGCGTAGCTCAAGAAAGTAGTTCATAAACTGCTCAGAAACCACGTTAGAACAGACGTATTCCACGTTGTGTGAAAAGTGTTCCTTAATGGAAAACCATGTTTACTAGCGAAAATGTATTGTATGAACATGCGTGAAGATGGTTGTGAGTTTTAATCATCTGTAGAGACTGGCCTCTGCCAGTGATAAATGCCGCTTTATGTGCCATAAAGAAGTGCCACTGCCCAAAATATCAGCTATTTAATTTTTATTTTAAGGCAGTATAAATTTTAAATGTGTTTTATTTTGTTCAAATTCGGCTGGATGTTAGAACAGTCTATTCCCCCTTTTCCACTGTCACATCCGACCTGTGACAGCACGGGGCCCGCACGGCACTGGTGGTTTTCCACTGGCTATTTGCCATGCCAAACCGTGATAACGCTGGCCTCACAAAAACATGCGAATCTGACTCAGGGCCAAGCATCGCCAGGGGAAAGGCTAATTCCGCGTACATTGCACGTCACCCCAGCCAGTACACTCTGCGCGTCATTCACACTGCATCTCGACTTGTTCATTGCATGTGACGTTGGCAGCACAGCTCAGCTTCTGCAGTGGAAAATCAACACTGGCGCCTCCCGAACCACACTGGTCTGGCTTGGCATGGCCCCGGCACAGGCTCAGTTGTAATAGAGATGAGCATTAAAAAAAACAGCGCATTAACTGCACAGCGACACGCACCGCAGATTTTAACATGGGTTGAATTGGCTTCCGTTCTGCCCAAGGTGATGCTGCAGATGAACTCCCGCTCATCCAGCGGAATTACATTCCTCACTAAAAGTGAGAAGTCATCGACAATTGAGAGCCGATTGCGGTAGACTTGGTTATCAGATGGGTAGGTCAGGTGTCCTTTCTTGTAGTACACCCTCTTTCTTCCTTCAGCTGTCATCTAGCAGAGTGCCACAAAATAGGGGTTCATCAAAGAGCACTTTTTTCCATGCAGGTACATATCAAATACCTTCATTCAGTTCTAGATTTGAAGCTTTCGTGACTGCAAGGATTCATACTCTTAGGTTTTTTCGGTAAAGTCACGTAGGAAAACAATTAATAAATAATAAAAATAAATAATAATTTTTTTATAAATAATTATAGAAATAAAATAATAAATCACGACGTTTCGGAGGCAACACAAGTCTCCGTCATCAGGTGGTACCGTCACAGCTACTTGATACAGTAAATCTAGCTGTGACGGTCCCACCTGATGACGGAGACTTGTGTTGCCTCCGAAACGTCGTCATTTATTATTTTATTTCTATTATTATTTCTATTATTTTAATGGAGAATTATTATTTATTTATTTTTTACCTACGTGGCTTTACCGAAAAAACCTAAGAGTACCTTCATTCAGGCATCTGGCAAGAGCTGGAGTCGATGGTACATAGTATTTTTAAATATTTAATGCAGTAGAGTTTGTGAATCGGTGTGGTAATATCAGAGAAGAATACATTTAGACAAGACGCATCTAGTGAGATGGACGAGAGATATAAATGTGATAATATAGATGTAAACGAACTATATGTAAGTGTGAAAGAATACAAAATCTGAACAACAGAGATGTAGTGAGATGAGCGATGTGGATAAGAGCCTGTGACAGTGAGGTGTGATATAGAACAGGGAGATAAAAAAGCTAGAGATGTTATGAGATAAGAGGAAAACAATGTGGGATGATAAGAAGTAATCAGCAGAGCTAAAAGGGCAGAGATTTATTCGGACAAAAGTGTATAAAAGAAATAACACTTTGAGAGAGAACAGCGCATGGAGCCTTGCCCAACAGCGTGGGTGCTGTGTTTAATATTTACAGTGCACAACACTCTCACATGTGACCTTCAACTTCATTGCATCTCACAGGTATACAAAACCCACTTCACGTGGTCGCGTATAATAACTATATTAAATAAGTACATAGGTGGGTTTACAATATCCAACTTCTATTAATTTTTAGGTTTTTTCTATTCATCCAGATATAAATTCTGGAGTATGAAGCAGCTAGATTCTAGATTTGCAGCTTTCGTGACTGCAAGGATTCATATTCTTAGGTTTTTTCGGTAAAGTCACGTAGGTAAAAAATTTTAATTAATAAAAGTAAAATAAAATAAAAAATAAAATAAAAATCACGACCATTCCTGGCCCTTCCCCCCCCCCTCAACCATTATATATACGGAGTGGTATCTCTTGTAATCTCTCATTTACTTGATACAGCTGTCGGGCTGTGACGGTTCCACCTGAAGACGGAAGCTTGTGTTGCCTCCGAAACGTCGTGATTTTTATTTTATTTTTATTTTATTTTACTTTTATTAATTTTTATTTTTTACCTACGTGACTTTACCGAAAAAACCTAAGAATAAGCAGCTGGATGTCCACCTGTGCCTCAAATATAGTTGGAATCTGGTGCACTCATATCAGTAAGGTCATCTTTAATACAGTAATTGCACTGTAATAAAAATGTTTTTATTTACTGGGGAAAACCTGAGTGTCCAGATATATGTTGACGAGTTTTCCTCATATGCATTCACTCGTCTGCAAATGTTTACGCCAAAGTTACATTTACAACTCAGAACAATTATTATGATTTGGGAAAAGTTGGAGCGTACTTACAATGTACCACTGAAGAGCTGCTTTTTCTACGTCTACATTCGCCCTACATATTATTTTCAAGTCTGTACCCGATGGTGCAACAATGGTATCTTCCACAAAAACTTGAAATGAGCCACCTGGAAAAAACACAAAGGGGTCATCGAATTAATTACGAATGCATACTCTCCTCTATCACCATCCATCCATCACTACCTTTCTTCGAAGCGATACTGTTCACAAGGTTTCAAAACGTGATGTATCCCCGGGCAAAAAAAAAGAATAACCCCCAGCCACTCCAGCATGGACAGGGTACATGTGACCAAATCATATACCAACGGTCAGATAGCAACATGTTTATAATGTCACCATTGCACACATTTGCTTATAAAACCACACAGCATTTTATTATAATTTATGAATGACCGATTCTTTCTTGATCAATTTCCACTTTCCAGAAGCACTCCAACCTGCTGTCGTCCACCAGTTATTTAATCACTGGTTCATGAAGCCTGTCTTCGCCAAGCAAAAGTTTTCAATAAATGTAATAATTAATCTGATATTATTTTTTTTTACAATTTTTATCTACGATAAGACACTAACAACTACTCCAAATATGTGTATTTTTCCGCAAAAACAACTCAATTCAAAGATTCTGTTCTTTTTTATTGGAAAGAACAAAAACGAATGAACCTAATACTCTGAAGGGAAGCCCCTATCTTTTACCGTTTTCGAATTATTCCATTTGAACATCATGAAATCTATATTTTTTCGTTCGAAACCGCTTTAATCCTGAATATCTCAAAAACAATAAAAGATAGAATGGTTCTCGCTTTAATTTTATTTGCTGTCTAACGCTCTGTCAAACTAAAAAAAACACAATCTTATATTTTGAACGGTTCCTGAATGACACGCACAAACATGTTCATGGGGCACTTAAAATCGTGATTTGACGGCCTTGAAATGAAAAATCTCGGAATTTCAGATTTTTCCTGTTGTTTTTGTCCTAAAAGCTACTTATGTACAAAATTTCAGCTTTCTACCTTGTCTGGAAGTACTCTAGACCTTTTTAAGACATAGATACAGATTAAGGTCTTTATTTGTCTAGAATATTTTTTTTCCGGTCGCCTTCAGTAATTGTATGATCACTTCTGTGAACCTTTTGCGTCCAGGGCTATCATCTCCCTCCTGTTGAACACTTTCATCACACTAATCGTTATCTCTTGTCGACAATCAGTTTTCTCTATCGCTTGTTAATTTCTTTCTTCACTAACTTGTATCACTTTTTGGCGTGGCACTCCACAAGTGTTTCTGGGCCATGTATGGGCCGCGAGCCACCTCGTGAACAACCCTGCTCGAGGATTTCCCAAATTACAATCCTCACTCGCCATAATAATGCTGTTTTAAAATTTTACCAACAATTACATGCATGAATAGCAATGTTCTAACAACACACACGCAAACTTGCACTGCGTGTACCTTATGCAATACACAAATCCACCAGTTCCTGAGAACTGCATTGTGGTCATCTTGTATTAACATATATGAGGCTTCCAGCGGCAGCCTCAGCAGCAGTGAGCATTGGTGACTGTACTGACGAGTCCTGATGAGTACAAAACTGGACTACAGCTGTCTCTTGTCTCACTGCTGCCAGTTGGTGAATCACATTGCTCAATGTATCGATGGTGACTGAAGACAAAATAACCAGAATGCATTTTTCGATTTAAAGCTTTCGTGACTGCAGGGATTCATCTTCTTGGTTCTTTCGGTAAAGTCACGTAGAAGGGAAGTAATAAAATAATAAAAATAAAACATAATAAAATAATTCTCACGACCTTTCGGCCACACTTCCCTTCTACGTGACTTTACCGAAAGAACCAAGCAGATGAACCAGAATGCAGTTTTTCAGGTACTGGTGGGTTTTTTTTAATAAGACATAAGGCCGAGAGCTTTTTGTACCCAAAGTGAACTTTTTGTGCGTTGTGAAAACTTTTTCGCTTTTTGGGCTGCGATAATTTATTGGTTTGAGTTTCAATTTATTTTATTTGTTTCACAGATGGTCAAGTTTATTCAGTTGCCTTATGATTTACATATTTTAGTTACGGTCACGTTTAATGACCCCATTTGTATTTGAATGGAACACATTGCTGAATGCAGAAAGTCGGCTGTGAAGAATGCAGTTGGAAATGCCAGGATAAAATTAGCTTCATAAAAACCCACCGAACAGGATAATACCGCAAGATGAAATGACCGTAGGCGGGTTGGAATGCACATCCAGCACTAGATAAGTAATTTAATGCCGCTGGTTAGTGATGGCTACAGATAGGATCAATTGTTCCTTTGCTAAGGGGCTATCCATTTAGTACGTACGCAAAAATCTGTCAAAATATGACCCCTCCCCCCCCCCCCAGACATGTGGGCCGTAATTAATAATTGGCCATACTTCATCACGCTGGGCAGTGCGGGTTGGTGAAGGCGGGGAGCATAGAAGTGCAGTACAATAGTGGATGTTGCTGCCCTGCCCTCTGCTGTCCACAATTCGGTAAAAAAACTCAATATTTCATGTGAACACAAGACGGTTCGTCCTGAATACATAACGTCACGAAGCAACCCTTAAAGAGACGCAAGCTGCTCCAGAGCAGCTTGACTTCCATGGTAAACTCGACTTCCATGGTAAACTGGACTTCCATGGTAAACTGGACTCCCAAGGTAAACTGGACTCCCAAGGTAAATTTGACTTCTATGGTAAACTGGACTTCCATGGTAAACTGGACTCCCAAGGTAAACTGGACTCCCATGGTCAACTAGACTTTCGTGGTAAACTGAACTTTCATGGTAAACTGGACTCCCATGGTCAACTGGACTTCCATGGTAAACTGGACTTCATGGTAAACTGGACTTCCATGGTACGTCCATGGTAAACTGGACTTCCATGGTCAACTGGACTTCCATGGTAAACTGGACTTCCATGGTCAACTGGACTTCCATGGTAAACTGGACTTCCATGGTAAACTGGACTTCCATGGTCAACTGGACTTCCATGGTAAACTGGACTTCCATGGTCAACTGGACTTCCATGGTAAACTGGACTTCCATGGTCAACTGGACTTCCATGGTCAACTGGACTTCCATGGTAAACTGGACTTCCATGGTCAACTGGACTTCCATGGTAAACTGGACTTCCATGGTCAACTGGACTTCCATGGTAAACTGGACTTCCATGGTCAACTGGACTTCCATGGTAAACTGGACTTCCATGGTCAACTAGACTTTCATGGTCAGGGGTCGGCAACCAAAATAACAAGGTAACAAACAAAATAACAAGGTAACAAACAAAAAACAAACTCCTCAATATTTCAGTGCATGTCAATCCTAGACGGTGGTTCTTAATAATAAACACCGTCACGAAGAAGTCCTTAAAGAGCCGCATGCTGCTCTGAAACCGCCGGGTGCCGACCCCTGGTCTATACCAACCTTGTTGGCTCATGTTGGCCGCCCATCCCAACACTATCCAGTCTCAAAACCCCGCTGAGCATTCGAGGTCATTTAGACAGAATGCGGTACTGTGTCACAGCTCATGTGTGTGCTTATTCTCTCACCTTCAACCAAGCACTGTGGCGGTGTTATGAGCAGCAGCAGCAGGAGCGGAGGGCCGCATGTTCGAACAACTATCTTACGAGCCCAGGGCTCCCAGGTATTTAATCGGTCAAACATCTTCAGTTGTCCAAAGTGTCACTTGAGTTGTTACCTTTTTTTCACACCCTCAACAACAACGGCTTCGTGAAGGCAGCGACAATCCTTTTAACGCGTACAGCGTATCTACATTCAACATGGCCCTTTCACGTGCGCAGAGTGAACATTGACTCCAGTTAAAGGTGCCCCTAAACAAATAGGGCCAATAAGTGCTGCTTTGCTGATGATCAGAATTCCGTCTTTGTGAACAACTTCCCGGTGTCAGAAACGTCGTGTTGGGACTAACTCAAGTGACCGCCCGGCAAGCCGGAAAGATGTGAAACATTTTAAAGGTGTGCGCGTGTGTGCATACGGGTGTGTAAATCGTACCGCGTGAACAAAAAATGCGCTTCCTCCATCTCAGAGCCCTCCCTCTGTCCTTTAATGTTTTCTTTTCTGGAAATCCCCTTCAACGACGAGGTCACACAGCCAGTAACGCAGCCATTCTGGCTTTGAAATTACACGATGTGGTGAAACGGCTAGTACATAAACAAATAGATAACGCGGTCACTTTAATATGACACGCACTTTTCTCTCATCCATATTAAGTTCACCTTCCCCCGCCGCCGCACTGCTGCAAGTTACAACATGCCATGCTTCTCTGTACGTACGCGTGAAGTTAACGCTCAAAGCTTCGCACCGATGGATCCAATCCACCAGCTGTATTCCCATCTCCTGGCCACTTCACAGATCAAGTGGGGATTGTGAGATTCACACATGTCCACGACTTAGTGGTTCCCAACCCGTGGTTAGAGATGCTGTATGACGTTTACTCTACCTTTTGGAACGCGTGACGGTCAAATTTGTTGTATGGTTGCTCATGGTTTGCAGGTCCAGAAAGCTAGGGAACTTAATGCACTCCGTGATCCACCGTTACGCAGCCTACAAACACTTGCTTTACGCATGGTCATCTTTTTCACCGATCTCTACTCTAGGCAGGCTCAAATCTGCTTATTTTTGGCTTCCGAGATCCAAATATTAGACACATCATTTGCGTCACTGTTGATCTGTGTCCGTTTCGCCTCTCTCCCCATGTCCGTCTCTTTTTGTGACGGCATGTGTCGCTCTTTGTCAGCCTTTCTCCATTCTAGATTTGAAGTTGTCGTGACTGCAAGGATCCATACTCTTTGGTTCTTTCGGTAAAGTCACGTAGGTAAAAATAATTGTGGTATTTACACTACTGGCTCTAGAGGAGAGCGGATGGAGAACACTATCAACAATAGCTCTTTTATTATTATTATTCTTTATCCAGAAAAGCCTTACTGGTGTCTTTTTTTCAGCAGGGTCCTGCAAAGATTTCGCAGTCGGGGGTGATGTTGCTGTGTGTAATCCCAATCATTTGTCAGGATTGGGATGTATGGCTCACACCACTTATGTTGTACATTTCGATTTAAAGCTTTCGTGACTGCAGGGATTCATCTTCTTGGTTCTTTCGGTAAAGTCACGTAGAAGGGAAATAATAAAATAATAAAAATAAAGCATAATAAAATACAATTCTCACGACGTTTCGGCCACAACGCAAGCAGCCGTCCTCAGGTGAAGAACAGGGCTGTCGGAAAGACAGCGTCCGAATGAACACCACCAAGCTTGGCAGCGTATATTTAATGCCGCGACTCTAAGCTTAAATATACGCTGCCAAGCTTGGTGGTGTTCATTCGGACGCTGTCTTTCCGACAGCCCTGTTCTTCACCTGAGGACGGCTGCTTGCGTTGTGGCCGATACGTCGTGAGAATTTTATTTTATTATGTTTTATTTTTATAACGTTGTAAATGTTATGGGAAAATCCAGAAGAATCGTATGCAGAACAGGTGAAGAGGCTACAAATTCTACACAGAGAGATGCCCGAGCTAGGAATCAAAGCCGGGCCCTTCTTGCGATGAGGTACACATAGGATTGTTTATTTGTTTCAAAAACAAACATGTCGCAGGGATGATAATCAATTTAGTGAAAGGCACGAGTGAGTAAACATCATGGGCCTGCCACTACAGGTTAAGTGACCGGTCATAGAGAAACTGGAAGGGGAAAAAAAGGACTTCCATTGTGCAATTTTTTTTTCCACGAATGCAACGATTTATCTGATTAGGAAGTCTCTCTTCTCTTGGTAAACCAACGAGGTTGGCGGCTGAGTCATTCAGATAGCAGATGGTTTTTGCTGATGATTCTCACCTAACATTTTACATCTGGGAAGTGGAAATGAAGGATCACATGGGGATTAAAGCCCGTGAGACATTCAACACCGATCTGCGACGCAATATTTTGCCCCCCTCTCTTCAACTCGCACTGGTCAGCGTGAAGTACTTACTATACTACAACTAACAACTATATTTATTTTATCACGTAAGGCCCACTGAGTTATCTAACTATTTTTTTAGAAGCGATCTGGCCACAAATGATAGCTCAACAAAGTGGCTTATTCTAGATTTGAAGCTTTCGTGACTGCAAGGATTCATACGCTTAGTTCTTTCGGTAAAGTCACGTAGGTAAAAAATGACATTAAAATTAATAAAAATAAAATAATAAAATCACGACGTTTCGGAGGCAACACAAGTCTCCGTCATCAGGTGGGACCGTCACAGCCAGATTTGCTGTGACGGTCCCACCTGATGACGGAGACTTGTGTTGCCTCCGAAACGTCGTTATTTTTTATTTTTTATTAAAGTGGCTTATCATGTGGGAATTTATAGCAGACATATGTGGAGCTATAAAGCTCAGTGGGCCTTACCTTATAACATCCAAATAGTTTCGTTTAACTCTTTATGTATTCTTTGATTTTCTGTACTTTAAGTATGAAGAAAAATTACGTAACATTTATTCAACGCACTTCACTCAAAGTCTGCCACAGTACTTTTATAGTAGCAACTGTATACTATATAATGCTTATAACACAAATGCTGTCTGTTACACAAAATAATTGACTAATTAAATAATCTACTAAAATGAGGAAGACATAATATTCATGACATTAAGTACTGCGAAACACATTTAGCAAAGAACTACGTTTATGGGGAATTTACATTTATTTACAAATTCGATCATTGACTTTATTATTTCAAAAATAATGCCAGGAAATAATACATGAAAAAAAAGCAACAATAACCATGATATAACAATATTTTAAAAAGACACGATAAGAGTATTGCGTTATATATAATATTGATGTACTACCCGGCTTCGCCCGGGACTTGGATCCACCACGCCCGGCCGCCTTTGACTCCCCAGTGGCGATGTTCACACACCACAGCAGTTACTCATTTGAGGCTGAGTCGACCTAGGGGAGGCCCAGGACCGGTTCAAATAATCGTCACCGGTGGTGGCCGTGAGCGGGAATCGAACTCGGGTGGCCGGGTTCGTAGCACAGCGCGCTAACCGCTACACGACAATGCGTTACGCTTCCACGTGCGCGGGTCACGTGACAGATGTGACCTCACAGCTCACTTGCCGTGCAACAAAAAAAATCATTATTGAGCTCCCCCCCCCCCCCCAAAACTAAAGTGTACTTTAATAATTTTTGCATGGTGTACAGTCTGGAAAGTACCCACATGGCAAATTTCAAGTTTGTTGCATGTCGGAAAGTACGCTAAACATTTTGAACAGACACACATAATCACAACTTTGCCTTTTTTTATATATATGGAGATGGAGAAGATTGAAGTATCGGCACATTGTGGCAACCAGGGTTTTCATTCCTTTTCCTGCATGTTCCCAGCCTTATTACCGTGGCACGCTCGATCTGTAGATGAAAATGTGTTGTTGGTTATTAAACGTGGTGAGCACAGAAAGCAAGGGTGACTTAAATACCCAAATAATATTTTTTTACGAGTCCGCGATTGAATGGGGGCTTTTCCGTAATTCACCACTCTGGTTAGTGTGGGTTGGTGAAACGGGGGGAGGCACAAAATCAGGGCAGACATCACACTCCATTGATGTTGGTTATGTTCAGGAATCACAATCAGTTTAGATAGCGCTTTACCACAACCCCTACACCACTCTTACCCACATTGGCTTCGAATGTTTTATTTAAAATTATTGTTTTTGGATTCCTGTATCATGGGTCTCTTTCAAATTTTGGGTCATGGCATCATCACACAATGACCTACACTTGCAAATGATGCCATGGATTTTTTTTTAAAGACTGCTGATAATAACTCCAATCAAAACAAGTGGACACAGATGGTAACTCACCCAGTGAATTCTAGGGAACTGACACTTCTGCAATTAGCGTTAAAACTGTTGTTCAAGTGTTCGTATACCAACTATCGGGTGCGTGCAGCGCGAAACAAATTAATTTGAATGGGCAGTAAAACTGCTACTCTAGTATTCGCATGCAGCTTTGGATATGTATATCCAATTCATATACAGTTAGCGTGTAAAAAAAATGCACGACTAATACCTGGAATCTAATCTGTCAAACACTTGCAAACGGTCGAATTCGCATTGTTTAAACTACTACGAGGCTACATATGTATCCTTTTGTGGGAGGGAAGGGGGGGGGGCACTTCCTTTTACGCCGATTCACTGAAAAAACGTTATCGCGACGTCCCACTCACTAACGTTTAGTTCTCTAAAATTCGAAATAAAATAAGTGACACTCTATTTTTCAGAATATTAATGAGCGTAATGGGGGAGAATACAAATAAAATAAATGAGCATCATCTATGTCTCCTTAACGTTTTCCATATCTCCACGCAAAACAATATAAAAAAAGTATTTCCTACACAACACATCAGCTGCACAACCCATTTAGCCAGTACGGCTGATGGGTTGGAGAGATGGATATGTGAAGGAGACATTTTCTGCTTATTTATTCAGTTATATTCTCCGCAACGGCGCTAATTGATATTTTGAGTAAAGTATTATTACAGTTTTCATCGAACTATGACCTATATAAAGAGTCAAAGAGAGGATCCTTGCCTGTAAGATTGGTAGTTCACCATCATTAATTCAAGCAAGCTTGACTCTGCTGATGAGACAGTGAATGTCAAAACCGGTCAAGAGCTTGCTTATCTTGAAACAATGCTGCTGAAATGATGTACTCCCAGAAGGATGTGGGGCTAATGGATTTTGTAAGAAATACTAGAATGTTTACGCTGAGAGACAAATGTGTGAAAGATACATTGTCTGCGTATTTCTTTTGCAGTGTTTTAGTTAGTTTCCCTGCTATATTCATAACCAGTAGTTGAATCATCTCCGTATTTAAACCCTTTGCACCACACAGACTTCTGTTTGAGAGACGCATCGCTGAACTGGACAGTTAACGTCCTGTACATTTGAGCCATTGTGATGTTATCCTTCACCAGAAGCTTTCATTTC